GTCATGCCCTTTGGCCTCACCAATGCCCCCGCAACTTTTCAAGCAGCTATGACCACTGAGTTTCGCGACTTGCTCGATCGCAGCGTCCTCATCTACCTCGATGACATCTTGGTCTATAGCAGGACGTTGGACGAGCACATCACACACCTTCGCGCTGTTTTGAATCGTTTGCGACTGGCCAAGTACAAAGCGAACCGCGACAAGTGCGAGTTCGCCAAGCAAGAGCTTGAGTATTTGGGCCACTATGTTATGCCGAAAGGCATTCTTCCCTTAGCGGACAAGATCCAAGCCATCGTGGATTGGTCGGAACCCCGTTGTACGACGGACGTACGCTCTTTCATGGGATTGGCTGGATATTATCAGCGATTCGTCGAGTCATACTCGAAAGTGGCCGCTTCTTTGTCGAGACTTTAGTCCCCGAAGGTGCCCTTTGAGTTCGACGACGCAGCCCGTGGCGCGTTCACTACGTTGAAGGCAGCGATCCAAGCCGCACCTGCCCTCCGTATATATGACCCCACCCTACCCACCCAAGTGACTACGGACGCTTCGAGATACGGCATTGGTGTGGTGTTGGAACAGTGCCACGAGGACGGGTGACATCCGGTCGAGTATTTCTCCCAAAAGGTGCCTCTCGTTAACACTCTCGACGATGCTAGGAAGAAAGAGCTACTCGCGTTCGTCACCGTTCTCAAACGGTGGCGCCACTTTCTTCTCGACCGTCGGCGTTTTAAATGGAATACGGACAACAATCCGTTGACCTTTTACAAAACGCATGACACGGTCACGAGCACGATCGGTCGATGGATGTATTACATCGACCAATTCGACTTTGACCCGTGCCACATTCCCGGTCCCGCCAATCGAGTTGCGGACGCCCTATCGCGACGGCCCGACTTTTATGCCATTGTGACCACGGCATTCGACCTCGATGACGATCTGCAGCAGCATTTCGTCAAAGGCTACAAGTCCGATCCGACTTACTCTACGCTTTATGCAGAACTTTCATCGGATCACCGGTCGGCTAGCCATTATCAGATTTCCGACGGATTCCTTCTCCTTCACACGAGAGGAAAGGACTTGTTAGTTGTGCCCCAAGATCGCATCCTACGAACTCGTCTTCTCGGCGAATTCCATGACGCACGACTTTCGGCACACCTTGGCGTGAACCGCACGTTAGCACGCCTCCGCCAGCGTTTTCACTGGCCAGACGTCCTTCATGACGTCACGAGGTACGTTGAGTCATGTGCAGTTTGCCACCGCAACAAGGGTCGATCTCGAGTCCCCTTCGGCGAACCGAAACCGTTGCCGATTCCTCGGGCACCGCGCCTCTCCATTGCTATGGACGTGACAGGCCCGTTTCCCCGCGATCGCCACGGCCATGACAGTATTCTCACGGTCGTTGACCGTTTGAGCAAGTATGCTCGCTTCCTTCCTTGCAAGTATCATGCTGCAGCACCCGAGCTCGCACGACTCTTGCACACTGGTTGGATTACCAACCAGGGTGTTCCGGAAGACATAGTGAGCGACCGAGATACTCGCTTCATATCGACCTTTTGGACTTCCCTCATGGCTGAGTCCGGTACGACTATGAAGCCGAGCTCGGCTCGGCACCCGCAGACGGATGGCCAGACGGAGCGAGCGCACCAGACCGCTCAGATGATGTTGCGTACGCTCATCCGTCCCGACAAGAAAGATTGGGTTGACCGGCTTCCCGACATCGAGTTCGCCTACAACACTTCGGTGCACCCGGCGATCTGCGTCACACCATTCGAGCTACATCAAGGTGGAGAGAAAGCACGGATCTTCGCTGATCTCCTTTTGCCACAGGCTGCCGACATAGACGTCCCTTGCTCTCCCGCTTCCGTTCGGAAGTACCGGGACTTGCTGATCAAAGCCCGCGCAAATATGCAAAAGGCTCAGATCCGCATGCAGCAGCAGGCTAACCGACGTCGACTTCCATGTCCCTTCCGCGAGGGAGACCTTGTTTGGGTCCTCTCCGAGGAATTTGCGCTCGAGCAGGACGTTTCGCGCAAACTCCTTCCGAAATGGTTCGGACCATGGGAAGTCACTTCTGTCGTTGGAGACGACCCCGCAGGTCCTCCCTTCGTGATCAATATTCCACCGCACCTTACAGTGCATCGGGTCTTCCACGCATCGAAGCTGGCCATCTACACGCCACCTTCAGTTGACGAGTTTCCCAAACGTTGATCACAGGATCCGCCTTCCATGGACGGACATCAGGAAGTGGACCGAGTCATCACGCACCGCAAGTATGGCAACAAGCCAATGAAGTATAAAGTCACATTCAAGCAATGTGCGCCTGACGACACTCGGTGGATCTCTAGTGCAGACTTGCAAACTTCTGCACCCCTCATCTTCGCTAACTATGAGAAGACACGACTTGCCAAGGCAGCAGCTTGTCCCACCCGACCCATCCCGGTATCGGACAGACAACTCCGCCCTCGCAAGTAGCTCGGTCTTTTAAGAGGGGGAGAGTGTTACATCTTCGACGCCACACGGGTCCTACCGGACCCGACTGAGGGCTAGAGGGACACATCAGGGCCTAAAGGCCCGACCTTGGGGCATAACAGGCCGAAAGGCCACGACTTGGACCCGATCACGGACCAGGCCCAAACGACATTTCATTTTGGGGCCTGGCGGCGCCGTTTGAGGCTGCCGCTCTCCGGTTGGACCTGAATCGTCGATCTGGACGGTTCAGCCCCAACCAAGGCCTCGCAGC